GAAAACAGCTTGGCTAAGATCAGTTTTGAACGGGGAATTGAATAAAATCAAGCTCGATTCTCTGGAATAAAAACTCACGAAACGGCGAGGGTTTTTGGAAAATTAACAAAAAAGTCGTTTTTTTAGACCTTTTCAGTATTTTGACGTTTTCTCAGCAAAGGAAGGTCTTCTGAGGCTGGGAAAGTGATATTCGAGATCAGCTCCGTACGCTGAACAAGAATATGTATGATAAAGTCAAAAACAAAATTCACTCGAAGTTTGCGTTACGTGCATCTTAAGACATTATACGATCTTCGAACAATTTTTTCACCTGAGTACACGTGTTTCATTAGAAAAACTCTTCAATATAACAATAGAATAAAAAAAATTACATCAATGCTCAAAAAAGAAAGAAATGAGAAAAGAGAACGATGTTGCTTTCATGAGTATTAATATGATGTGAGCAGTTCATCAATCGAGTAGAATATTGTTTTAGATATTTTTTCATAGTTGAACCGAGTTGATCAAACGCTGCATAATTGTCTGTATTAAAATATCTTAATTTTTTTGGGAATAGATTCAAAGAAAAATCATACTTTTGCATGAAAAGTTTACATTTGTTTTTATATAAAAAACGCGAATTTTTTGTACACTCTTTGAATGGTAAAGTGGCAAAACACCGAAAGTCAAAATGCCGAAGAGCAAAACATCGAAGGAAAAACATCAAAGAGTCAAAATGTCGAAGGGGTACAACATCGAAAACCAAAATATCGAAAATGTGGAATATCGAATGAGACTGCTAGTAATTCTTTAATACTGTATCATTTGTTAATTTACATCTGTAAATTGAAAGAAAATATTGATTTATGTATCATTGTTGAGTACTAGAGTAGTTGAAAAAAAGCTTGTTAGCGCAGCTCTGTTGGGACTGAAATTTGGAACTCATATATCCTTAGTTTCGTTATATTGATAGAAAAAAATCTATATAAATTGAGAACTCTCTAACAGGCGATAGCCGCTTGCAAAGGTAAGCAGTCACCAGAGAAACGTTTCTCTTATTTATTTCTGCATTTTATCTTCGTTGCTAAGATCTGTAATGGGAAGGAGGAGAGAAAAGGGAGCCGGAAAACTTCAACTTAAAACTTACACTCACTATTTTCTTCGAAAATGTATGTGAGCTCCACAAAATTGTTATATTTCAAGTCAAATACACAGAAAAAAAAGAAAAATGACATACAAGTATGAATTTATTTTTTATTTTCACATCTTTTGCAACAAAGACAGTCCTTGTAAATATTCTTGAACATCAATTTCTGCATTATGGAATCGAGCTGAAAGTGTTTTAAGTCTGTCTTGCATTAGAAGACTTTATTCGACGTTGTTTTACTTTTGCTACTCTTTATATCAAGAATTTATTGTCTCAAATAGACCTTTTCCTTTTTCAAAGTTGAGATGAAGCGCCAAACATTAGGATGACTTTTATCAAAAATAATGTAAATCAACGAACAGAGTATATGTATGAGTCATATTTTTTTCTGTAGTATAGATTAGAAAATTTTCGACATTTTGTACTGTCAATGTTTTTCCCTTCGATGGTTTGTCTTTTCGACATTTTTCCTTCGACGTTATGCACTTCAACGTTTTTTTTTCGATGTTTTGCCACCTATTCCTTTGAATAGCTTATCGCCAATTTTATCTCCAAAGGGACTAAAAGAATTTTAATCTAGAAAGTTTTATAGAGCTTGACAAGCTCAATCAAATCAAGCAAAAAGATCAAAAGTAATAATACTCGTTTGTTAAATTACTCACATCTTACTAAAACTCATAATAGCAACATTACTTCGCTATTTTTCGAGTCTTTTTATTCTTAGCATTGAAGTTCTTTTTTTATTGTATTTTTACATTCAGGGTTTTTCCACTTAAACAGATGCATATATATTACTTGACTACTACTATACATGCATATCATTGAATAATATTGATGGCACCTAGCTCCAATACATAGCAGGATGTTTACTTTTAAGTACTTTGATTTTCAAATTACCAGTAAATACAATAAGACATTTAGAGAAATTTTTTGCTATTATAAAGAGAACATTTTACAGCCTAGATTTATATAAAATTTCTAACCCTTAGGGTGTGGGGTGTGGGTGAGTGTGGGTGTGTGGGTGTGGGTGTTGTCTTCTTTCCGTTCCCATGTACCCGCCCATACTCACACCTATCCACACCACACTCACACCCACACCCACACCCTGACTAATGTTATAAATGACTAATGAGTAGAACAAAAGGGATAAAGAAACTAGATAAAATAAACAGATATATTTGTAATAACACATAATAAAATAGAAAACAATGGATGCGGATTCGACAGATGTTGAAGAAAATATTAATATGAAGTATTTTTATGATAAAGTCGACGAATATATCAATTCATTAGATCAAAAATTTCGTGAGAAAGCATTGATTAAATAAGAACTTCATAACAAAATTCAACAAGGTTTGTTATTACCAAAAGGCGCATGAAGTAATTTACTTTTCACAAACTTCACTTATTGCATGAAGTATAAGTTCGTATTGATAAAAATTGCTGTAATTGATGTACTTAGACATGTACCAAACTCGAGCTCAACTTCGGGTTGAGCTCAGTGAACTCTGTAGATGTGACCGTGGAGGAGGTGTGGGACTCACCTGAAGATAATCAAGATTCAGAATTCGAATCTGAAATTCGTTTTTTCGAAATTTTGAGCTTGGCTCCGTTTACTGATAATACGTTGTTAGCCTCTACACATGTAGTAAAATCGAGCTCAGTTTCCGTTTTGATATAAAGTTTTTTAGGATTGAGTTCAGTTTGAACTCGAACGTACATGTTCGATCTCGATCGAGCTGAAACTCAAAAGCTCAAGTTCAGTTGAAGTCCGAATATGTAGGCAAATTTGGGTGTGGGTGTGGGTGTTGGTGTGGATGTGGGTGTTGGTGTGGATGTGGGTGTGAGTGGAAAGAAGATATACACCCACACCTCAAATCCCACACCCACACCCACACCCACACCCACACCCACACCCACACCCACACCCCACTCTCACCCACACCCACACCCTCGAATACAATACGAGCGCAATTCACTCATGTATGTTCAAGTTCAAATTGAACGCAATTTTGTACAGCTTAGTATCAAAACTCGAAACTGAATTCGGGTTAGCTACATATCTAGAGGCTAAAAAAGTGTTTTCAGTAAACAAAGTCCACAATTTTGAAAAAATAATTGCAGATTTAGGTTCTTCAATCTCGATTACCTTCGACTAATCCTTACAAAAGAACACTACTTTCTTTAAAAAAATCATTCCTTTATGAACAAATTCAAGTTGAGAATTTGGAAAAACTGATTGCAGATTCGGATTCTGGGCCCTAATCATCTTCGGTTGAGTCCTACACCTCCCCCACGGTCACATCTACGGGTTTCATTGAGCTCAATCCCAACTTGAACCATGAAACTTGAAATCGATTCATACTGGAACTTTCGAGTTTGAGCTTGATCGAGTTGGACCTTTTGAGGGTATGAAATAATTATTCGATTCAATTAAAGTTTATATTGCTTATTCTCTTGCTTATGTTCAACAAAGTATTTTACTTAATTCAGCTTTTCAACAAATTCATTGTTTCTCTTTTTGAATAATTATCAAACTTCAACAATTGTTATTTATAATTTATTTAACAAATTATCTCTTTTCCATGTTCAAATACTTAATGACGATAAACATATATTTTAAATATTTCTTATTGTTGCTTTTTATTAATATAGGGTTACCATCAACTTCCAAAATGAATGATTGGATTATTTCTTCAATTAATTTTACCATTAGTTTTGAAAAGAATGTAGGTGAGATTGAGTTTAGCAAGCACATCCACCCTAATACTAAAATATGTAATAAGAAAGAATATTCTCTCAACAATAAAAGTGTGAAAAAAATATCGACATCTTTTCATTATGATTGGTGATCTTTGCGTTTTTCATTGAGACTTTTTGTAAATCAGGTAATCAACAAAAACGCTAGAATCTAGTCAGTTAGAGTACTGCAACCCAACCCGACCCGCAGGTGCGAGTGGGTTCGGGTTTTATCAGGTTCTGCTTTTTTTTTCGCAATATGTTTCTGTTCTATATTTTCGTTAGCGTTAAATTCAAAGAATAATGGACCTCTATTCTATTGATCAATGGTTCAAATAGTTGTTACATACATAGGACTTTCTTTTGACCTTCTCTACATAATGCGTGTCCTCAGCCAAAAAAACACTCAAATAAACGATGCAATACCAAATGTCTCATTGTTAGTCGTTGTATTTTTTGATGAGTTAGACATAACTTGGATCTTGGTAAATAGAGAAAATCGGTCTCTGTTGAGCTGTGGTGTAGGTTTTTTTTAAAGAGACATATATTGTCACAAAGACAAGATTTTAACGCCTTCTTTATGATATATTTGTGTTTATTGAGTTAAGTCTCAAAACTTTCACCTGGGCTAGACAAACGGACATTTACCTAGTCTCTTTATTCTATTGAGACTCGAAGATTCTCCATATTAATTTAGATAAAAGACGCAAAACATGTGGCATTCGGCAACGCACATATTTGGTGTCATTCGATCATTCATCAAGCTGAGAAGTAGTACTAACATTATGCAATTTTATACGAAATTAAAGAATCCGATTGATGTCGCTACTTTGAAATACCAATCAGATCCCTCAAATCAGTATTGAATCGCATAGTGTAGACTGTGTCTTTGTCAGTAGTGAGTATTTTTTGTCAGATCTAATACTTCTTTGCTTATTGTTCAAAGTAGATTCTAAACAAACCCGTCGAAAACTGCTTCAAATTGGATAATATACAAAATGTCATTAACCACAGTCAAATAAACAAATCGAATTTCTCGGATCGGGTCGGGTTCAGGTTGAACTAGAGGACTTTGGGTCGGCGGCGAGTATCAAAAATCAAACCCGCGCAGAACTCTATCAAGTCTATTACTTTCCTTATTACATGAATAAAACACTAACAAGTACATCTATCAGTGTATGTCGTAATTCTTGAATTCTGACATAGTCGTAATAGAAAGTGATACCTTTCAATGCTTACGTCAAGTAAGTAAAAAAGAAAACTTGCACAAGTCTAAATAAAAACGATGCGAATCATGAGTATGATGAATAAGTTCAACACCAGCCGATCGTATCGTATTGAAGGTAGGAACGAAAACTCATATTCAATAATCAAACTCGTTTGGCTTATCTCACGACATCTATATCCTTGGCATAAAGTTTGAACGAGTTTGCAGCAACCATCATTCTCTAAAACATTGTGACATAACGAATTAATTTTGTTACCGAAAAGAATTCGCAAAGAGCTATATAAACGTTGGGATTGGCACCAGATTACTTAAGAAAATCAGTAGCAGTTTTGAAATCACTTTTCTATTTAATGTGAAAAGTTAAAATTCATGAAAGTTTGAAACATGATATTGTAAACTTTTGTCACTGTTAATTAGTTAATTAGTAATGATGCAACTTTCTCCCACTTGCATGACCAACACATGAAGGTTTTTTATATAACGAATGATTCATTCGAAAAAAGATATAAAAAGATTGTAACACGTTTCTTTTTCTCATATTTTTGTGTGCATAATTACGACAATATTGGATGAGTCATTGTAAGTACAGACTTCCGCTGTGAAAAAAGTTCAATAAGATAAACAAGTAAAGAATTAAGCATTATTTTGTTTTTTCACAACTTTCCAGACAATTTAAGCTTGCCTGGGCTGATTTCAGAGATGAAGTCAAATATTTTTTTTTGAAAATTTATGTCTAGAGCTAATCTTTGTCGTGGTTCTTTTTTGTAGACTCTTACTTTATAACCGGAAAATATGGATAACAAGTTTTATGCCTCACAAAATGCCTAAAACAATTGTTATATTTTTTTATAGACTTTTTTTCTTATGTAAAAATAAAAGGGTCGTAAGGGCGACTAGTCCTAGACATAATCTTTCAAACAAAAAAAAAATATCTGGCTTTATCACTTACTCTGATAGAATTCTATTACAGCTGCGTTGTTGAACCCATATTCTGAAAAAAATGGAAAATGAATTTAAAACTTTTGGGAAAAGAGAATTGTCAAATAAAAATTTTTATAGCACATGAAAGAGCGGATGACAGGGTATTTCTCTATCAACTTATCTCAATGTCGATGGCTCTGACGAAAAGTGACTTTTCTTGGGAAAGAGCTTAAGAAGTCGCATTGTAATTTATTCAGAGATCTGCTTCCGGTTATTAATAAAAATCTTACAGACACAATTCTTCACAAATATCAATCCTTCTCATTAAAGTTAAGTCGACATGTCTGTGAGTTTTAGGCAACAGAACACTTATATCTTCCTCCAAACACATTCCAATAATTAATGTTTTAAAAAAGTTATTACCATTTTCATTCTCCTTTAGTTTTAGATATTTAATCATCAACGAATGGGTGATTGTCCACGTCATCCACATAATTCAAGAGAAACATCGACTGTTATCATATCGAAAGATTCATGTTCATTTGTTTATCAAGATTTAATTTTTCATGTTCAATCAATTCAATTTCAAATGGCTGAAGTCACCAAATATCTTGATGATCGATGGAAAAATGAAAAGAAGATACGAAATGAATTAAAATCACGTTCAATAACATTTGTTGATCCATATGGATATTCCATAACTAATAAATATATGGATCATGAACTGATCGGCATATTATTTAAGAAATATAAGAAGGATTATGTACCAAAATATTTACAAAACTGGATTAAAATTGGAACAATAAATCAAAATATTATTTTGCCATTAATTGATTTGGAACTGAAATTGTCTGTATCTAAATATCCAGATGGTTATCGATTTATTACATATGGTAACTTGAAAATCTTGATAGTATATCGTGAAGATGCATCACATCAACAATTGATCCTACCAGTTCTTCTAACAGATACTATAGAAAAGATTCAAATGCAAATACAGAAACTTCAAAAATTGTCAAATATAGAACTTAAATCATTTATATTAAATAAAAATTTGCAAACAAATAAACAACCGTGGAATGAAGGTAAAATACTCAAAGTAGATGACACCGTCTTGTCATCTAAGTTATATGAAGATAATTGTATCATTATAGCAAAAATTCTTCAAGAAAACGTAATTTATAACTTGTTTTCTTTTCATTATACGTGAAGTGTTTTTGTATAGAATGATGTTACAAAATCAATTGCTCGATTTCAAATTTTTGTGAAAACTTTTACTGGAAAGACGATTACATTAAACGTTGATTCTAGCATGAATATAGGTTTTGTGAAAGAATTGATAAAAGACAAAGAAGGTATTCATTCTGATCAGCAACGTTTATTATTTGCTGGAATACAGCTGGAAGACCATCGAACTCTTTCAGACTATAAAATAGAAGAGGAATCAACAATTCATATGTCTCCACGTTTACATGGTGGAATGTATCATTTTACGAGTGGTCGACAAGATTTTGAAAGTTTACCAAATTCAGCAGCGGAAGCAATCAAAGCTGTTCTTGCTTTCGAATTTAAACATATGAATAATTATAAACGTTTGTCACCAGCTGAACTACAAAATTCTCTTTTACAAGGACAAGCTGTCCTTTTCAACTTATTTTGTAAAACCCAAGATTTTTCTGTAACTGGTGACCTTTCGCATTTAAGAAACATTATATTATCGACTCCTGCTGATGATGATGAAGATAATATCTCAAATGAGCAATGAAAATCAACTATCAAAAAAAATTTAAGACTTTTAATTGTTAAAACGTAATATAGTAAAAGATTTACTTATTCGAGAAGAAAACATGACACTTGAGAGTGTGGGTGGATGGTAACTTTTATCTATTTTCTCCTACGAAATATCTTGCTGTAATCACAATTGATACCAATAAATACTTTGATATATACGAAATATTCATCAATCAATATGACTTCTAATGAAAATTGATGAGAGCAGTTCTAGATCGAGCCAAATATTGAAGTCGAATTTTCAACTTTTCCTATACTATCTACTTAGACTGTTTTAAGATAGAAACGATTAGTAGTTTGTTTCTACATCCAGAATTGTTATATGAGCTGATTGAATCAGATTAAGCATGATCAAGTTTTGAATTTGTTGTGAAAAACTTCTTTGCAGAAAAAGTTTGAGCATAGTAATAATGGCATGTTCGGCGAAAAATGTTTTTTAATATAAATTTATGTCGAAGAGAAAAAGCTTAAATCACTTAGTAGTTGGTGTTCATGACTGCTTCCGATGTATTTATGAATATATGGCACTTAAGAGAAGATAACAACACATAACAGTAGAAACAGAAGCAATTATCGAATAATTTATAACATGATGTTCTACATTTTTTACGATGCTTTTTTTGTGAAGATAAAAATCAACAATTATGAGGTATTTTTTTTCTATCTGTAGGTGAAAGCCAAGTGCGTCATTTTTTTCCAACGTATCAATCATCCGTGAACGAAATATATGATAATGCAGTATGTTTAAGTTTTTTTGCGCAACACTATTGTAATTATATGCGTCATTGCAAGTGCGTATGAAAATCCATAAATTAGTTTTCACTTCGTCATTATCTCTAAGAATTCGTCGTATTTTACATATCTATACACTAATTCTTATAAGCTGTCTGTGACAGTAAGCAACAGTAAGGTGTTCTAGATTTTAGGTCATTCGAACTAATTTTAATTTTAAATCTATCTTTTGTACAGTTACGAAAGTTTACTATCAATTGTTCCATAGGTGAGTTCTCTTTTTCAGGAAATTTCAACATTTGTGTATGAAAAGCTAAGTGAACGTGACTATTATGCAAGAGAAAACTCACAGAACCTAATAATTATTATTTCTACAAAGGTTTGCTTTATCAGTATTTCTCTCGTTCTAGATACTTACTATTCAATAGATGAATAATTCAACAATAGCTTCATCAGAAAATTTAACCTCATTCTTTTATCAAGATTTAATCACTCATATTCAAGCAATTCAACATCAAATTATTGAAATTACAAAACATCTTGATATCAAATGGAATAATAAAAAAATACGACACAAATTAAAATCACGTTCAATAACAATTATTCATCCATATGGAAATCCAATAACTAATCAAAATATGGATCATGTATTAATCAGCACATTGTTTCAGAAGTATAAAAAGAATTATGGGGTGGGTGTGGGTGTGGGTGGGTGTGGGGTGTGAATGGGTGTGCGGTGTCGGTGGGTGTGGGTGTGCGGTGTGGATGTGGGTGTGAGTGTGGGGTGTGGATGTGGGTGTGAGTGTGCGGTGTAAATGTGGGTGGGTATGGGTGATTTTCTTTTCTTAATCCGCACCCACACCCATACACCCACACCAACACCCCACACCCACACCCACGCACCCACACTCACACACACACCCACACCCACACCCCACACACCCACACCTATCACACCCCACACACGCACCCACACCCAGCCACCCCACACCCACACCCACACCCACCCACACCCACACCCACACCCACACGCACACCCACCCACACCCACACCGACACCCCACAGACACCCACACCCACACCCACACCCCGTCTTGTCCAATAAGGTTTTTGCGCAAGAGCTTCAGCAATGAAATCTTCTTACTCTCTCGCTCTTGCCCAATGAGATTTTTATCAAGCTGAGGTTTGTGTGAGTGAAGTGTTTTCGCGATTCCGCTTTGTTCAACCAGTTTTTTTCAGCTGGAAACTGAGTTAATCAGATTTTTTTTATTGCACGGCTCTGCTGCAATCAATTGTTGCAAGACTGGGAGAAGTCAGTACTTATAGCGGTCTAGAAGTTTCCTTTCTCCTTTTTTCACAGGTAGATATGTCTTGTAGAACATCGATTTTTCAAAAGGTCTGGCAATTAAACCAGTAAGGAACAGGTTACAAGAAACTATGATTTTTGGAACTTCTCACCTAGAATTTTTTTGTTATAAATACAACAATGTTTTACAGTAAGCCAAACGTGACCCGACTAGAATGCGAAGAAAAGAGGGTGATTTACTGGGAATGTTGGTTTGAACATGGAACCGGCTAGCCATGAGTGGCGCCCTAAAGGAGCGCCGACGAACGACTAGCCGCTGATCTGGCGGGTTCGCCGAAGGTACACCTCGGACCGGCGAAATTTATATAAAATTGCTCATTGATCAAATCTCACCGGTTGAAAGTGTCTGAAAACTACGAAAAACTCAGTGCGGTAATATGAGTTTTGATCCTCGATAAATGAACTGGAATAAGGAGTTACGAACCAAGAATAGCGATAATGACTGACAAAGGGCTGACGTTGTAGCTTCAGACGGAAGAAGGTCTTGCAGAAAAATGCGAATGAAATGTATGTTACTGTGTGCAAAGATTAGGAACATTAACAATTTGTCAAAAAATCACAGAGCGAAAGGATTAAGAAGAAAGTGAAGGACTGTTTAAAACCATACCGGTGTCATATATGAAAGCGAGCAGTCGCGAGTGGTGGCTCATATTGACACCGGCGACTAACTGTGAGCTGCCTCTTACGGTTAAATTTGAAAAATCCTAGGAGAAAATTGAAAAGCGAAATGTTTTTAGAAAGTGGTCGTCTCCTACAATACTATACGGTTTTTTTCATATATGTATGTGTATATAACAATCGTTTTCACAACGAAATCTAGAAGGTAATGATAGATAATGAATGGACGGGATTCAGTCGAGGGCCAAGCGAGTCGTAACGACGAGCATTACTTGTAATATTAGGGTGAATTTTTCCTGTAGCTCATGGAAACAGCTTTTCTTATCAACCACTAGAAAAATTCACTCCGCTGTTATAAGGACAAAACATAGTGTTGTTCGGGGCGATTATAGGGTTTGTAGGGTCTCTCTTTCATATGGCTCGAGCAACACTGTGTTTTGTCCTTATAATAGCGGAGTGAATTTTTCTAGTGGTTGATAAGAAAAGCTGTTTCCATGAGCTACAGGAAAAATTCACCCTAATATTACAAGGACAGAACATAGTGTTGTTCGGGCCACATGAAAGAGGGACCCTACAAACCCCATAATCGCCCCGAACAACACTATGTTTTGTCCTTATAATAGTGGAGAAAATCTTTCCTGATTCATTTTTATACCTAAATTTAAAATCTAAATATCTCCCTCTAGGCAAGCCAACAGCCGCTAATATTTTAACCTTGGTAGTTTGGCGGTGAGGGCTTTCTATTGGTGCAAAAATATCTGGTAAATTCAACTTACAGTACAAACACCTCCATTGTCAGGTGAAATACTCAGACAACAAGATCTTGTGCGATTCTCACAAGATCATATAGAAACTTACTGTGTGATCTTACAAGGGCATACAAAATCATATGAAAATCATACCCAGGGCGGGCAATCGGACACTAAGATCGGGCACGATTCTGCATCTGATCATGTATGATCTTGTAAGATTCGGTAAGAATCGTACAAAAAATCGTGGTCTCAGAAATCTTACATCAATTCTTATTGTAAGATTCTTGACAGATCTTGTTGTCTTGCCAAATCTTACTGTAAGAATATAGAAAATCTTATGCGACGGTAGGATCTGACAAGAATCTTACAGTAAGAATTGATGTAAGATTTCAGAGACCATGATTTCTTGTACGATTGCATATGATCGTACAAGATTTACTATCAGATTTTTTGACCTGGGTATTAGATCTTCTACGATTTCATACGGGTATCGTAAAGTCAGATCATCTTATAAAATCGTACAATATAATTCTTGTATGATCTTATTCTATGCTCTTGTACGATCCTGGAAAAACTACCGAAACCTGTACGCCATCTTCGAATGAATTTCAGAATTCCATTTCTTCATCCAGTGCGCCCCCTCCTCCGTCCCGGCCCTCAGGTCCTCCCAGCTTTCCTGCTGGAATAGAAAGGAAGCTGTTCACGAACTTGAATTAATACTCACCTTTTATTTCATATTCACTTAAATATAAATAAAAACATATGATGGGGGAAATTTGATTTTGCAACAAATTCAGTTTCTTGAAAATAAATTAAATTTCCGACAAAATAGTTGTCGACCAGTTGAGGGGGTGAGAAAGAGAGCCGGAAGGGGAGCAAGAAAGTGAGAGTGAGGGGTACTCTGTGGGTACCCAGAGTGCTGCTTCTCTCTCCCTCAGGTCCCTCTCCCCCATATGTCTCTCTCTTCTCTCTCATGTGTTTCTCTTCTCTCTTTCTCATATGTTTCTCTTCTCTCTCTCATATGTCTCTATTCTATCTCTTTCATATGTTTCTATTCTCTCTCTGACTCATATGTCTCTCCCCTCTCCTTGGTTCCTCTCTCATTTTCTCTTTCGGTAAGAGAGATGTGGCATTTCTACACCGCTTATGTCGCTATAGCGGTATATGCAATTTGAATTTTCCGCAAAATCGAATCCCCATGAACTCATTATATGATCTTTGTATGATTTTTTAACCTAAAATGTATTTTTTAGACTCATTCTACTAGTTCATCACAAATGCCAATTATTTCGTCCACCATTATGAATGGTGCACGACCTCTTGTAATACAAGATGGGAATCGTTGTTTTTCGGTACATACTGTATTTTTTTACACAATATACTCATTTCAACCACACTTGTTTTTTTCAATCGTTTAGATAACACCAGCATCATCAAAAACAACAACAGCATTAAAAAAAGACAGACTACTATCAATTTTTGTAGAGGGGTGGGTGTGGGGTGTGAGTGTGAGTGTGGGGTGTGGGTGTGGGTATGGGTATGGGTGTGGGTGTGGGGTGTGAGTGTGAGTGTGGGTGTGGGTATGGGTGTGAGTGTGGGTGTGGGTGTGAGTGTGGGTGTGGATGTGAGGTGTGGGGTGTGGGTGTGGGATGTGGGTGTGGTCGATATGGAGATTAACACTCACATCCACACCCACACCCCACACCCACACCCACCACACCCATACCCACACCCAACACCCACACTCACACCCCACACCTTCACCCCACACCCACGCCCAACACCCACACCCACACTCTATCATCAGCTACATAGACAGCACCTGATTGATCTACAATAGCTCCAAGTGGATATGATAAGTGTGCAATACTATTTCCTTGACCGTGACCACCAGCGACAACTATGCCTTCTTTAGCACCTTTCATCCACTTCATCACACGATGATTACTAGTATCTGATATGTACAATGAATGATTTCGATCAATGAATAAAAGTCCCGGATTACTCAACTGATTGAGCCGATTACCTTGCCCATTTCCACTTGCGCTTAAAATTGTTTGACTTTCTCCTATTCTATGTCGTCTAACTTCATGTACATCCCAATCACCAACATAAATATAGCCATCATTATCCATGATTAAGCCAAAACATGCGATATTCGAAACAATTATTTCTCCATTTTTGTCATTTTGACGAGGCCATCGAACTATTCTATTATTTTCATAATCACAAATGACGAGACTATCTGTTACTTTATCAATTATTACATCTGTTGGACTATTCGACTGATCAGAACGGTTTCCTAATCCATTTCCACTGGCCGCAACTCGGCTACTTGTTGCACCACATTTTCATTCCATAATACGATGATTCGACGAATCAGCAATATAGATAGTTTGATCATCTGCAATACATAAACCCCATGGTTTGCCCAGCTGATTCAATCCATAACCACGTTCATTATTACCCGCAACAGTGATACTATTCTGGATCCATTTTGTATTGACATGCAAATTTACTCTGCTTAATAAAGGTACTGAAATGAAATACAATTTTTATTTTTTCTTCACATTCAGTCACTATGCATGGATGAGAAAATCAATATTCAAAGTGAAAAAGAGACGGAAAGACCACTTTTCAGATTCAGAAAGATCAAAATAATTCAACGATGGATTTTTCTTTCAATTTTTTTATAACAGAAAAATTAAAAAATGATCAGGATAAATCAAACACACAGATTAATTTTCTTGCCACAAAGATTTCAAATATTCTCATTACAACAAAATTTGCAAGATAACAGATATAACTTTTCTTCTCTTACTTTAGTTCAATAGACTTACCGTTTTGCTGTTGTTGGATGTAAATGATTCCATTCCAATCAATTTGATCATTAGCAATAATAATAGTTTTAGTAGTATCTTTTTTGAATAAATTGTTCATATTTTTTTTGTACTTCATTGAGTTGTTGTTGAAGTCGATATCTACATCATCTTCTGCCAAATTTTCTTCTTCTTGAAGACAATGAATTTCTTGTGTGATTGATTGTAGTTGTTTTATTCTTGTTATTCTTTGTTTATCAATTAATTCTATGAGTTCATTACAAATTTTTTTCTGCTGCTTGATTTGTTTTGTTGATTGTTGTTTTTTTCCATTGTTCGATCTGATCGAAAAGATCCAATGATAAATTATTTGATTTTTCCAACTTATATATTCGATCAAGAAGTTCATCATGTGATCTTACAATTTCATTATCGAATTTTATTGATAATTGTTGTTCATGTTCTTTAAAATCTTTTCGACAAAAATATTTTTTACATCCAATACAAAAAGATTTAGCTATAGGTTTATTACAAATTGAACATTGTTTTGATTCATTTACTGTTGTCATTGTATTCTAGATCTAAAACGAATTCATATGAATATATACAAAAAAAAAACAAATTTAGAATTTATTAATATCATCGAAAATATCACTTTTTAATACCATGAGGTTAGGATGGGTATTTTGTTCTGTCATACCCACACCCAGTAGACCGTACATGAAGTAAAATCATCTCAAGATATGAACAACAATTGAACGAAGACAGTAAGAAATAACTTTAAAAACCTGAAAAGTGATCAAAGTTTTTTCTTTCAAGTCAATCACTTTAATTATTTACATGTAATAGAATTTTGATTGTTAAAAAAGAATCAGTGGACATCAAGTAATCTTTTAATATGCAATGTTGTTGAGTTCTTTATATGATATTTAATATTAACACGTTCAATCTGATGTGAGCTACTGGTGACTGACGGTCAAAAAATTGAACATTTTCACTTTGTTTTAACCAAATGAGCTCGTTTTTTCGCTGGTGATAGCGATATTTAAATTTTTTTATGTACAAGAAAAACGTCAATAAACACCACGTTAAGATGTTATAATTTGGCCTCAAGAAAGAAACATGACTTTGTAAAGGTTTTAAAAAAACTATGTACATGCCTGACAACAATTTTGAATTGTAATGGCTTTAATTTTATTTAAAACATATTATACTAGAAATATTCATCTATAATTCGAATCAAATATTAGTTTAATTTGTGAGACCTTGCTGAAATTACAATAGTTTACTTATCCAAAGTAACTTTTGCTTCTTGAAGTTAATGATAAAACTTAGCACGGTACTCATTGACGTTTCTCTTGTAAATAAAAACTTTAATCATTTCTCTATTATCGACGAAAAAAAAACAGCTCATTTGGTTAAAACAGAGTGGAAATATTAAATTTTTTTTTTGTTGTACATTGGATTGAATGTGTTAAGTTTAACTTTTTCATACTTAACAGTTAATTTCAAATCTTTATTTATGTCAAACAAGACTTGTCAATTCTCTAATCAACGCGAAAAAGAACCTGTATTGTCTTTCGATAACAGTGGGAAAATAAATCTAATTTATTGAAGTCAAAGAACTCATGAGCCATCAAACTTGAGAGTAGAGATTTTCTTCACTATTATCATCAGAAAATACTGTTGTCCTAGCAGATCAGAAGACCAGCAAAGTTTCTCTCTTAGATAGATTGAAAAACATCACAGTGACTGTCTACATAATGTAATCAAACATATTTGATTTTATGTGATTCAATAACGCTTAATATGATGCAATCAATAGATAACGTTCATCTGTTTCTTTTTATCAGCATTAATGGTTGAATATCAATACTAGACTTAAGTGTATATTAAGGTAAATGTAGAACAATTACTGAGGGATGTCAAAAGAATCCAATATTTCGGCGTAAGTTTCTTACTCACAATTTGTTGCGGTTTCAAACGAAAGGCATGCTGTTAAAAGTGGTGAGTTGTGCAAATAAATAAAAACAACAACAAAGTTACATGTTTCATGTTTTCTTCCCTTGCAAAACAATAACAAAGAAAAGAAGGAGACACGTGTGCCTTAAATGTAACAAATACTGCAAAGTTTAACTGTTGAAAGTAAAATTTTGAATCAAAAAATTTATTTTAGATGTTCATTCGATCAAATGGTCTTGTTCTTGCAAGGCTAAATTACAAAGTTATTACTTTAAAAATTGCATGAAATGTTTTTTTTAATGACCTATAGAAAGAAGGAAAAACATTAGCTGGGACAGAAGATTAGTTAGTTAATAGAAAAACACCGGATGCCTGATATTTGTCATATGTTACAGTAGATGATTTTCGATTAAATATCTGACGTATTTTATTTGCTTATGTGGTGTTCAACTAAATTGAAAGCATTTCAAGAAAACGTTGAATGAATATTTTTGAATAAATGTCAGCAGAAGCAAGAGATAATGAAGATGCATCGATTGATTTATTACAGGATTCTCTAAAATATTTTATAGTGCTTTCTCAGAATACTTTGACAACAATGCTCAAAAGTTAAGAGTGGATGTGAGCAGAGAGAGATTTTTCTGCGCCACCCTCTTGTGCAGTAATTTTAACATTGGATAGAAACAATGAGGTACTGAGAAGACACGTTAACTGTATTTGAATGTATACATAACAGAAACAAAAAAAACAGATTTTGCATATATAAACGATTTTAACCAATAATTGCCTTGAACATTTTATTTGGAACACAATACTGACATTATATTTGAATTGATAGTTACTTATTTGATTTGTTTTCACGAAGAAAAATCACATTAGAATATAATAAAATCAATATTCTTCCGAGGAAACATATCCAGGTATCCAAGCTATTTCTATTTCATCTTTCGGCCATAAGTAGACCTCGATAAGATAAGAAAAATTTCAATAGGCTTACTTCTTTCACACTTTTCTTCCGGGTTTTTATGAAACTTTTCTTGGGTGCGGGTGTCAGATTGAAGGCAAAAGTGATACCCACACCCACACCCACACCCACACACCCCACCCCACACCCACCTGATCTAGTATGGGAAAAGTCTCACAGATAAGTTTGACAATACAATTTTGCTGAAAATTTTTGGCTTCATGAGTAAAATTGATATCTTAGGAACATAATTACGAAGGAATAAATCCTTCTGAAATTATTCTTGTCTCATGAGGATCTAATTATGATCGATAGATGGGACTGAAATGACGTGAACATCTAAATATGTTTCCTCGTTAGCAGTTAAATTATTCAGTTTTTGTCAAAAACCTTAATCGAAAAAACTGTTTAATGACCAAAGCATGATCATAAAAATAATTTGATGAAAAGATGATATCGTCATTTGTTTGCCGCCTGAGAATGGGGCTAAAAACTTATCCAAATCCAATTCAATTGTACTTATTGCACGAATATCATCTCCAGTTTGAAATGTAGTACAATTATCCGTTCCACATCTTATCTCTATCGTTTCAGAACGTGTTCGATCAGTTATATTAAATAATACTTCACGTTCTATAATTGGATTCCAATAACCTTGTGTAACACATGTTGCACACATTTTGGTTGTATTTTTTGTGTATAAATATTGTGCGTTACATTGTGTACATTGATCTGGGTTATCTGGAATAGGATTACGACAATATTGAGTAGTTTGATTTGAAAAAAGTAAACATAAACGACCAGAATAAGTACCATTCCACGGTAATATGTTTTCGAAAACATCAAATTGATCATTGATTGTCACGGATTCTAATATACGTTGAAATGCGCTCCCGTTATTACAGTTTTCAGTTGAGCAAAAGTATTCTAATCGATATCGTACTTGTTGATTTGCTGCAGTTGAACGTCCTTCCACATGAGCATTAACAGTAAGCAGAGTTGTTAATAATAGCGATAGGTTTCTGGTTTCGTATTAGGTCATACTAATTTCAGTCTGATTCCGATGCAAGTACCATGTTACACCTATTCGACACAGTGCATATTCATGTATAATCTGACAAGAATATAGTTCTGCTGGAATAGTGTCAGCCGTAACTGTATAATTGTATGTTCTTCCAAAGGAACAACATGTGAAACCATATGACACTGAGGTAGACAGTGCGAAAATAGTCAATAAATGAAATAGCATAATTGATTCGAATTTGTCGAGAGAATCTTTGAGTTAAGATGAATAAAATGACCTGAATATATAAAGAGCTCGAATAGTAGAAGTGAAACAAGATAATGCATCATTGATAAACAACATACAAATTTTTTTATAGATAACATTATTCATATGAGTCATATATTTTGATATTTTACATGACAAAGTTTATTGAGACTCTTGAAAATTTTGTTTTGTTTTTTTATTAAAAAGGGCAAATTTTTTTAATATCTATTCAATTAATAATAATCTTTCATGTATAAACTGACTACTACTCCGTTAGTTGAAGTTTCAAGAATCGAGATATGGAATATTTAATCGAATTTACATTAGATATGTCTGCCTTTTTTTATTAAAAAAAATTGGGTGATGCGTGATTGTAGTCTTTTTCGGACAAAAAAAATTCCTTTTTCCGATTATTATATTAAGAAAACAAAATACACTACAAGATGAAGTGTGAAAAGGCCCACGATTTAGTTTCTACTTTAGCTGCAATTTTTTCGTCAAAATAGAGGAAATTCCCTCTGAGTAATTTTTACTACTGCAAACAAGATCGTTTTTTGTACACAATCAATTTCATTTCTTATTGTTTTAGTTAAAGAGTGAGTATTGAAAATCATAACGGATGGGCGAACAAAGGAATAAAGTTAGAAAGACCAATAATTCATCTTGTACCAAAAAATTGTTTGTTTTTTCAAGCGTCAAAAATTAATGACTCAGAATCCTACCGGTTTTCATTCACGCTGCATGTTCCAGTGTATATTGCTTTTTTTTAATATAATGTGAAAAAATGAATAGGAAAAAGAAACTTTATTTTTGTTCAAGGAAGATTGCTTCAAATTAGTCGGGTCTATCCATACCCACAACAGTTGTACCTTAGCTACCTTGTTCCGAGACACTATCGACAAGTATTCAGTATTATGATCGTTCCAAGGGTATCTTGTGCAGACACCACATAGAAACAACTGCTGCGAATTACTTACATAATCAGTCTCCAGTTAAATTATATTGCTTTATGGCGAAACACATTTATATTTGTATATCTATTTAAATATTCAGTCGAAAGTAGTGATTATGTCTTTTTTTGTGATAAATTAGCAGGGTTATCCTTATATAGAAAGTTCAATTTCGATTCGGAAACAAATTATTTATTAGGGTGTGGGTGTGGGTGTAAACATCTTTAAAGAAATCATCCACACCCACCCTGATAATTACTATGGGCTATCAAGCATCTTTGTGTTTTATATCGAAATTTCTTACAAAAAAAATCAAGAAAAAATTAATTTTTTTTCCATTGTACTTGTTTTGCATAGATTGCTAAGATAGTTTTAGTGTTTTACTGAAATATTTTCTTTAAACAAAATCATTTCTGTACAAATTTTGTTAGAAATCTAAACACATACTGTCTGTCTAAAACCTTTACTAATTTTCCTATTCATCATCATGAACAACCTGTGCTACGTCTCGACAAGGAATTACTACAAAATCAATATTTTATAGTGAATTAAATCCAATATCAAAATCGATGCAAAAATTGTAAATTTAAAAAATTATTATTTGCGAAGTCATTAGAACAAGTCTCTGTTTTCAGGATAGCATATTTATATATGAACGATTACCAAAAATTTTCACTAAAATATAATCTTATCAGGTCAACTCATTATTTATCTTCTCCCTAACAAAAAAACATTATGGCTCTCATTTATTCATTCCGTATATCGTGCGTATTCACATGTGAAATAAGCAATATGTCAAATATAGCTTTGAATGATTTCCTAGTTGAATTATTTTATAAGGATGTGGATGTATTTGATTACTCATCCTCACGCCCACACCCATGCCCTTTTAGTAAACAGAAGTAAGGGTACTTTTTTCTGAGCTTAAGTATATTCAGAATTTCTTTTGCAAGTATAATTATGAAATGACTTCAATATCAGAATGTTTAGTTGTAGACGTTGGTGATGATGGTGATAAGGGAATATCAATGAGATGCATATCAATCAACATCAATGCAACTTTTTTCATCAAGTTGAGAAAGTAATCTAGAGTTTCTAATACGGTTTGCACTGCAAGAACACTGCCAACAACAGGTACACAATGAGCAATGGCTGCATAGCGATTAAATAAGAAATTTCTGAATACTTCTTCAAAAGTTTGATCATCTAAAACAGGTAATATTGAATCGATTGTCTGTTGAATATATTCTGGTGATGTGACCTTCAATTCCATCAAACGTTCGACAACTTTATTGCATAGACCCAACTGTTGGCGATATTCTTTTGCTTCAGTTAGAAAAGCTATAAGATTGATATTTTGAGAAAAAACAGGAACAGGAAGAATAGCAGCTGCAGCAATAGCACTACATACAAACCATTGCCGTCTTCGAAGATATTCAACCTTTAATCGAAGAGCTTCTCGACAATGTGCATTGATTAAAAAGACAAAGGATTCACGTTTCAGTTGAGGACACGCTTGGCAAAGATCATGCATAAAATCATCCATATCCCATCGATGTAAGTCTTGCTGACGACTACTACATAAATAAATTTTCTGCGGACGTGAATTTTGAGGCAATTGTGCGAAACAATCAGCCCGTATCTTTGCTAATTTGGCATGTTCATCAAATGGAGGAGCTGAATCATTTTTAGCGTTGCGAATATCTTGATCAATTTTACTACGAAGAAAAAAATATGGTTTTTTTCATTTGAATCATCTGTTTGGCTAGCCAACTGTCACGTTCTGTAAAACGTTCACTGGATATAATAATTACAGCATCGAATCGTTCAAAACCAATTATCTTAAGATACTTGTCACGAGGAAACTCCTCTGTTTCACAACCTAACAAAAAAATTTTACTTGATTATTGTTTAAAACAAATCATCAATTATGAAAAATTGTTGCTCAGAATTTTCTTAGTTACTGTATTTCAGTATTAGCAATCACACACATGTAATTAGACCATCAATCCTGTACACTCATACAAATGAGAATAGGAAACAATGATGAATGAAACATAGTTTTCATTATGACGTATAGGCTTAGTTTGTTTCTCAACAAAATATTCATCATACCTGGTAAATCCCAAAATGTTAACTTTCTATGTAGTGGATGTTGATAATCTTTAGGTTTTTTGGTGGTTTCAATCACACCAGCTTTGGCAGCTAGTCGAATATTGGGTTTCACTCCTCGTATTGCATTGATAAAACTTGATTTTCCAGCACCAGTCTCTCCAGTGACAGCAATATCCAAAGAATATTGTTCCCATTGTTGTAAGCGAGACTTTAAATATGTTCCGATTCCATCTACATCATGTGTGTTGACATATTCGGTGAATAATTGCTTCTCTTTATCCAAATTAATTTCATTCACTTCATTTGTTGATTGTAATTCCGAATCACCTAATCAAAAACTTTGGCATTATCTTCCACAAGTCAAGCATAAATTTAGTTGAATGCAATTAAGATATGAATGGTTAATCGAATCAGCTGATATGCGGCGATCTATCGTTTTTAGTCAACTTCTATACTCTCAATTACATTTTATGAAAATCATCGTTTAACGAGTAATCCATCATAAATCGTCCAAAATGTCTATAGTTTTCTAGAGTATTTTCTAAAATAGGGTTTTCTTGATCCATTTTAAACTTCAGAATAAGTTTTTGTCGGACATATGCTAAGATATTCTACTCTCAAACTTTCGATGGAAAGAGCTTCGAGTCACATAAATGATGGAAAAAACTCACGTACTTTCTCTTCTAATTGGTTCATAGATCTGTGCCTGTGACGTTGTTGTGCGTCTACTTATTAGATCTTTCGTGAATCTTTCAAAGTCTCATTTTTCTTTATCATTAAAACCATTGCCAATTAAATAAATATCGTCTTTAGAACTTAAAAATTCTCCATATTGAAACCAAAGAGAGTTTTTTTCATCCTGCACTTGTTCTTCTATATCGCCAGTTGAATAAGCATTTGGTTGAGTAACGTTTTTAGTTTCATTGAAATGAGTTCGAATGATAAATAAAGCTTTTTTCTCGGATGTATTTCGAAGAGAAACTATTGCATGGTCATTAGATGTTGAAGCTCCGGGCAGAGTTTAGTATAGCCCCGCACTATAGAAACCAACGCCTAACACATTTTCATTGATTTTATTCCTACTCTATTAACACTTCATTTCATTGTGAATCGAAAGCAATCAACCAAAATTCCAAATGAAGCTAAATAGAAAAATAGGCACTTCTAAAAGGCGCGCCATCTATTTATATATATAAAGGGTGAATGTATGAACCAATCAAATGTTTTTTCTTTCTTCATGATCTTTGATGACTTTTAAAACTAAATCAGTGAATGTAAACATCGTATCACCAAGAAATTATGTAAAAAAAAAGTAGACCAATTCAGATGTAAAATTCGCAGTGTGATAATGAAGACTCAACGGATAGAGAACAGCACGGCGAATAGAAAACATCAATAGAGGGCGACACAAGCCTGATGGATATATGCATATGTGACATCTTCACTCTCAGGTTAATGCAAATATCTGTTCGCATTTTGATATTTTAAGGTTGTCTAGTGATGAGGAAAGTTTATAACAAGTGCGGGGCTATACTAAACTCTGCCCGAAGCTCCTCGAATAACAAGAAGTATTAAATCACTATTAGTGATCAATTGTGTAAAAGCTGCATCATTGATTAAAACTTACAACAGAAAAATCATATGAATTCATTCTATATGAAATAAAAATTTTTTATCTACCTTTTTTCGATGAAATTCTTCGACGAATAACTGATCTATTCTCAACAAATGTATATTTATCATTGGAAAAAGTTTTTTTAGGTACAATAAAATGAGTTTGCTTGAGAAGACGAATTAACATGGATTTTCCTACCTTTGAACTCGTACTAAGCATTGATATGTCCAAAAGATTCTTTGATGAATCATTTTTTATAACCGGTGGCGACTGCATGTTATCTCCATCTAGTTCATTTTTCATTCCTGATGAACAGCATAGTTTGAAAGTCATTTTCTATCTAAAAATAAAAGAAAAAAACCTGCAGACATGCTCAATGTTCTACAAGTGAATTCAATTTAAGTTAGCACTAGATTGTACAATAATCTCTTGTACTTGTATTGCTGCTTTTTCCATATCACTCAAGATAGTATTTAACATAAATATAGTAGCTCCAAATGAGGCTGTACCTGCAATAGCAGATCCAATAAGTGGTATATAGCATGCACTTTCTTGTTTTATCATTGATGTAGCAACTGATTGTGCAACGGATAGAATAAATTGTCCGACACTAGCCACTGCAAGAATTGGAATTCTGTCGCCAATTGCGAGGGTGTGGCTGTGGGTGTGGGTGCTCGTGCGTGTGGGTGTGGGTGGGTGTGAGTGTGGGTGGGGTGTGGGTATCACTTTTGCCTTCAATCTGACACCCACACCCCACACCCACACCCGCTTGTATGGTGGAGTTATCGATAAAGAGAAGTAACTGAAAAAATTCGTAAGTTTGAGCCTAACAATAACTAATTTTTCCTATCACAGATGTATTTAAATCTTATCAGTACTATATTTTATTTCGAATTATAACTTTTATAAATATTTGTTAGATGACTACAATGATTTTTCGTAATACTCTAGAACCAGAGATATGTCAAAGCTTTACATGATATCGAAGCATTCTAAAACCTTTCATGACGTCATTACCGATGCAACTGATAGGGGAAGCCCTCACTATCCCATTTCACTGAGATTCTTTACATACACATACATGATATACTATACATCATCGGTGTCTATCCTTTTAGGCTAAAAGTAATCAGATATTATTTTATCATTAATCGAAATACAAATGGATTTTTTTCATAAACGAAGAGAAATTCAATCTTTATATTTTTATTTCTTTCTGAGTCACAAATGAGCTGATAAGATGAAATTCATCTATAAAAGCAATGTATTTCAACCAAGAATTAAATCAATTTTGAAAATTTATAACTACAACTGCAAAACACAAAATAAATGCGACTTCAACTTTGGTTATTGTTAGTCATTGGTATGGCTATTGCTGTTATGGCAGAAGGTAAGACTCTCAATACCTTTATTATATTCAAGTTGAAATATCATTTATTTGTTAGGTTACAAAAATGATGTTGATGATGACCATGAAAGAGTGAAACGGCAAGCTGGTAGCTGTATCCGTAAGGAAATATTAATGAATGACTTAATGTAATAACTTTAGCCTTTATGTTTTTGCTACACAGATCCTCCGAATGCTTGGAGTAAAAGAGCAGCTTGTATAGCTTCATGTAAGTTACAAAACTGCGCAACGGGTTATTGTCATGGGACGACATGCGTATGTTCACGATGTTCAAGCGGATGGCAAGGCAAATAATTGTGTTAATAAACGATATTGCACAATGAAATAGAACAATCTGCTTGATTACTACTTTTTCTTATTTACTTAATCTTATTCAATTTCATCAATCAATATAATTAATTTTAAGTCGAAGCATGTTGCTAGCTTTTTTAAACTATAAGCCGAATAAGACGAGTGCCAATATCTTGAGACACGTATACACTGGTGGTTTTGAGTTTGCGTGTTCCCATGGGGTTTTGTCAGAATGATTGAAAGAGCGAATGCGAATTCATCATAAATTTCAGGATTTTATGAGATCTTTGCGCTGATTGATTTAGTAATAGCTTTTTCAAGGTGTGACTCTTTCTTTAACAAGGATGTGGGTGGCTGTGGGTGTGGGTGTGGGTGTGGGCGGGTGTGGGTGGATGTGGTTATGGGTATGTATGAAGAGACGACCGACGCTCACACCCCACACCGACACCCCACAACCACACCCACCATCTGATAGATATTGAAAGTGTAAGGCATAAGCCTATGAGGGTGGGTGTGGGGTGTGAGTGTGGGTGTAGGTGTGGATGTGGGGTGTGTGGGTGTGGCTATGAGTATGTATGAAGAGAAGACTCTCACCCACACCTACATCCACACCCCACACCCACACCCCACCCACACCCCACCCACACCCCACACCCACCCACACCCACCCACACCCCACATCCACACCCCACACCCACCCACACGCACATCCGCACCCACGCACACCCACACCCACCCTCAGATATAAAAATTCTGAATAAACTATATACATATACTCTCCTTTTCATAATAGTTTGGCTTGGTTATCTCATATGTCTTCGCTAAGGATCGGTTATAGATAACACGAAATGAAGACAAATATATAATAAATTACAATGAGGAACAATGATTCTGTTTTCGTTTCGATAATGTAACTTGATATCGAAGTGGGTTGATATAATGTATTAAGCATTTTAGTGGATGTTTCCTCATATAAATAATTATTAACATCAGTAAAGGCGACTATAACTTACACCCAGGTCGTTCATGCGCGGCCGTAAACGGCCGTACACCAATCATTTACGACGAAAAACGACAGCAGTTTACAGTGACCATTTACGACAGTCATATACGACGTTTTACGGCGTATTACGTTAATCGTAAACAATGACCGTAAACGTTCGTCCTTTACAACAACCGTAAAAATACGGCGACAGTAAACGATGCTCGGATAATATCGTAAGATATCGCAAACGGCAGTCGTATACAGTGACTGTTTACGGCAATCATATACGATGCTTTACAGTGTATTACGCTCATCGTAAAGAATGACCGTAAACGTTAGCCGTTTACGATTACCGTAATAATGCGGCGACTGTAAACGACACTCGGATTATACCATAAGATGTTGTGAGCGCTAGCTGTAAACGGTGTGATCTAAGATCATCGTTTTTTATTGTAGTGTCCTTGCACAGTTGTTAACGACGACGAACTACTTTTCTTAGACATAGTGGCAAAATCAGAACTTCGCTACTAGAAGAACCGAAATTTGAAGCACTTTTCTTTCAAATCTATCAAAAATAGTACAAATTTTCATAAAAGAATCTGAGATCGACACCATCCCTTGCCTCGTAAAATTCTCTTCACGTATACATTCTTTAGATTTTTATCAATAAATCAACAAATTTTCAATTGTTAATTTCGGATTTCGTTTAAAAAATTTTCTGTCCACATGAAGAGTATTTTACGATTTTGTATTAAGTGTATTAAGTGTATTAAGTATGAAAAATGATCACTCTAGAAACAGTATGCTGAATATTGTTGTATTGGGTCTCTCAATTGAGGCAGATTTGTGTAAGATTGCAACTGAAATGTTTAATTAGCAGTATCTCTTGTATCTCTTGAATAACTGGTAAAAAAGACTGCGAAAGTGAATTTTGCTTTGCTCAGTGCGCATCAGCTAGACATAATGTTTCTCAAGATCTAATTTGACAGATTCTCCTATCTGAACTTGAATTTGCAGGGTGAATTGCACGTACATGAACTGAACTATAATACCAAAGATCCAAGAAATCCATGTTGTTCTATGTGAAACCCATGTAAAAAAATTTTGATGAAAAGTCAGATTAAAACCGATTTTTCGATTAATAATCGAATTTTGATAGATTATAATGACGTTATTTTTAATTTGATTTTAATATGATATCTGAATCTAAATGATGGATGGGATTTGATAATAATTATTTTTAATTTATTTTAATCGATTGTTAAAATTGTATAAATGACTATTCGATTGTTAATCTGACTTTTCGTCAAAACCTTTTATATGGTTACAATAAGTGGCTAATAATAGATATAATCACAATAACAGACATGAGATCCTATGCGTGTTACTATTTGATTCAACAGATTTCTTTCTAGATACGATCAAATTGTCAATAAAGGCATTCTATTTACGCAACTTAAATTTACTCATACCATTTTAAACTCGAGACTAAATAATTCTTTATGTTAACATACTTTCTCATAAGATTTGACTCTTTTTTTAACATACCTAAAGTTAGCACCAGATTCGTATTTTTCTGGTCCGGATGTGCCTGTAGAGCTGTGCTGGTTCCATAAATGATAGTGTTAGGTGCAGAATTTAATTCTCTATCGTATGGTACCATTTCTGAATGGGGTTATCGGGTGAAAATAGGGGTCTTCTTCCAAAATACTGATATTACCCACACAGGGTAATTTCACAATGAGGGTGCCGGTGACGGGCAGGATGAGAAGGTGAAAGTGATGATGAGCATAGTTACTGTCGAAAGAAGCTAACATTAACGTCGACCTCATCATTACCCTTACCTCTAGCCATTCTCTCCCTTACCCGCACCCTCACTCTAGAGTGGTTAGCGAGGGATAAAATTCTCGAAATTCTATAAATCTCAAAGTGGATTCTCCGAAATCAATGCATCTATAATTCGGTGAAAGAAGCGTATGCCGCAAGTATTATGCTACCAACAATTGGTATTTCGTTGCACAAGTTTTGAAAGCTATCATTGAAACTTCGTTTTCATCGTTTCCATTACCATAATATATGTCTAATATACATATATTACTTTTTGTTATTGAAATGCTTTTTGGTAATTTCCTTTTCATCGTTGCACCATAAACAACCTAAACCAAAACATTACTAACAATATCAAGAAAAAAAAAGAAAAAATAAACTAAATATTATTTGACAGTCTCCACAATAAAAATTATAAATGAAATCAACTTTTCCCAATGCATCTTTAGTCCTGTTCCACTGAATAGAAGTGTGATTAATTTAACGAGAATCAAGGTTTCATGCAGAAAAACAGCATTTATCACTTATCTTCAAAACTTCCGAAAACTATTTCCGACGCAAAGTGAATCACCATGTCGAAACTACCATATACATGAGAATCTAACCTGATGATTCATGAAACAGCATTTTTATGAACATGCAGCTTGTTTTCAACATAGATAATACAAAGATGGGGAAAAGCTCCCAGCTTCAAAACTCCACCTGCCAGTGAGGCAACAAACATATTCCGACTAACAAACGTACCAGAAAATTGATTTTTTTCCACATCAACTCAGCGTACTAAACTCAGATTCATTCATTTATCAATACCATCATTTAGTACCAGAAACCATATTTCTACCAATACAATGAGTACCACTAAACATCTCATGCAATTTTCATTCAGTATATTCACAAACACTTCCGAAAAAGTTATTCACATCATTCAAGGTACTAGAACCCCAACACAAAAAGTATATTCCAAAACATCAGGAGAGGTGAAAGACGTCGCCCTACAAAACTAGAAAAAACAACATTCACATCCCAGTTCTTCGTTCCCATAACCAAGGCATA